CAAATTCACTTTTCCCTGTTCTTAACTTTAATAGATGGAAAGGTTTTAAACATCATAACTGGTACAAAGTCTATGCAAACCTGCCCTGTTTGTCACACAACACCCAAAACCTTCAACACATTGTCTAATAAAAATAGTGAAATTTTTTTGCCGAATAGTAATTCACTCGTTCACGGGATCAGCCCTTTGCACGCGTGGATAAGAATCTTTGAATGTTGCCTCCATATTTCTTATAGACTCCCTATCAAAGTTTGGCAAGTTAGAGGTGCCAAAAACAAAGCAGCCTTTTCAGCAAGAAAATCTGGAATTCAAAAGGTACTAAAAAGCAGATTAGGATTGATTGTAGATAAGCCCAAACCAGGAGGCGCAGGTACTACCAATGACGTTAACACAGCTCGTAGGGCATTCGAATATCCTGAAGTTCTTGCTGAATGTCTAGGTTTAAACCATGAGCTATTAAAAAATTTAAAAACTATACTGATTGCTCTTTCGATTCATCTTCCAATAATTTCAATTGAATTTGACAAAGTATGCTCTCGTACTGCCGAAATATACGTAGGAAATTACTCGTGGTATCGTATCCTATGACTGCAACACTTCATAAGATACTTGTGCATGGTTCTGATATAATAAGTACAAGTATGCTGCCTGTAGGAATGCTTGGTGAAGAAGCAAGTGAATCACGTAATAAAGATTACAAGAACTACAGACAACAACACAGCAGGAAAAGTAGTAGAGTTGTAACTTTGGAAGATATATTCTATAGATTAATGGACACGTCAGATGTTATCATATCTTCAACAAATATTGCTTCTCGATCTCGTTTCAATTCAAAAAAATCTTTAACAATTCGCCATATTGGATCCGCCATTTTGAATATTGAAAATCTGATTATAAATTCGTAATCAGCGACCCCAAAAACCTCCGAGTAATAAATTTCAGGTCATTTGGGTCGGCTTTTAGAAAAAATCGTCCGCCATATTGGATCCGCCATTTTAAATTTTAAAAATCTGACTTCAGATTCGTAATCAGCGACCCCAAAAAACCCCCGAGTAACGAGTTTCAGGCACTTTTAAAGACATTTGGACTTTTGGCCAGTTTTGAACGCCTTCTGGCCCACTGTGTGCTCCATGTAACTGTCTGTTAGGATAATTTACACTCTCTTTTTAATTCGTTATATAAATGCTCCGAAATGCAGGTAACCTCGCTACCTGAATCAATGAGCATGGGATATTTCCCGTTAACTATACGAATCATCATTTGCGGACTAACTACACGAGGCTCATTTTTCAATTCTAAATCATTATTATTTGGCTGCACATCCCAACAAAGTTCCTCGACTAAGTCAGTTTGCTTTGCTTTTTGCAACGATCGCACATTTTCATGCGAAGTTTCCGAACTATCCTTATTTAAACCGATATTTCTATTTTCAACATTATTTTCTCGATGATAATTGTTTTCTCTTTTTCCCCATTTATGATTTTTGACACCGCGATTTTCCTGAAATCTGACACGTGAAGCCTCATACGAATCATTTCTTTTCATTTGCCTATCACCTCGATCTCGCCAATTTTCATTTTTACGTCCCTCTTGATTACAATCATTTTGGGTTTCATTTTGCAAATTAGTAGGCTTATTAAAATTCGAGTGATAATTATTTTTTGATTGATTATACGAGTTACTATTTTGATTTTGATAATGATTCGTACCTTTATCAAGGTTTCCTGCATGTGACAAATCTAAACGCGCAAGTGCTTGAGAAATTCTAACATTATCATTATAATCAATAGTCACTAAAATATCCCTAACTCTTTGAGGAAATTGATTCATTATAATAAAATTTATTTCATGTTGTTCCATCCGCGGTACCGATATTTTTGCCATTTTAGTTTGTTCGTTATAGTACGTTAAAAGCGACTTGTCCTGTGTTCGAAATCTCTTATTCTCCCACTCTGATTTCGCCTTCATATGCGCCTCGAGTGAAAATATTTTTCCATAAATTGATTTTTAAAATCCTGAAAATTATAAAAAGGAATCGCAACCGTTTCGAATCATGTTTTGGCAGAACCCAATAGTGCATCCTCGACTATCAATAATTTATGACTCTGATCGATATTTTTTCTTATACAATATTTTTCCAATTCTTTAATAAATTCAATGAGATTATTTCTTTCCGGTTCAAAAGTCGGTAAAACTAAATTAATTTAAAAAGCTTGAAACTGTTTTAATATTCCACTAATTAAATCACTATTTATTTGAGAAGATTCACCTTGAGATCGAAAACTTGTGTTTGGCATTTCATTGTTTACTTTGTTATTATAGCTATTCACATTAGAATCAGTAATTTGATTTTGACTGTCTCCCTTCTGATCATTATATGTCGAACTATTGTCATTGTTTATATTAATATTTAAATCTTTTTGCGTACCCATATCCTTACGTTCACTCACACTTGCGCGAGTTGCGTTCTGAGGCAATTTTCTGTTGATCTCGTCAAGGCGTTTTATTTCCTTGCGCAGTAATTCATTTTCCTGATGATTAGATTTTCGCTCTCTCTTCATTCACTCTATCTCGTCTTTAAGCTCTGTAATCATTTGGTGTTGCTGATTCATCATTGCCTGTATTTGACCTTCAGGGTCGTTGTCAGTTTTCTTATTAGCCGGCGGCATTGTTATTTTTTGGATTATCTACAAATACAGAAATATAATCAGTTTTGTTTTACAATTTTCAAACTTCTAGGAATAAAATATATCAAATATTATCAAACCGAATTGCCACTTTATTGAGCGCCATACTGTTATGCTTGTATGTTGGATCTATATCTTCGTCATCGAGAACTAAATCTTCATCTCTAGAGCTTTCAAAATCTGTTATAATTATATTTTTTCAGGTACTATTATATTCAACTCATTTACGGATTTTTTATTGATATCTCTTTTAGACGTGTTTTACTTTTTGTAAAGGATTAACACAATAATTAATTTTTTTTGACATCTTAATTATACTTACTATTATGTCTTGTGCAATAAATATTTCACACTTTTTAATTCTAAAATAATTAAAAACTAAAATAGTTTCGCGAAGAACGTTTTAAACAACAGAAATTGAAACACGAATATTTTGAAAACGCGTCAACAAGATTTCAAGAAAATCACTATCAATGAGCATTAATGTTTAGTTCTGTTGCAAAAATTTTATAAAAAAATAAGAAAAAATTTTAATTAAAAAAAATAATCTACTTCTGATTTAAAGGTTTTTAAGTAAAAACAAGATCAATCAATAAACAAGTTGAGGCATGTTGAAGACGTCTAGCATGGGAGCGCAGCGCGATCACCTACAATGTATAACGCGATATCCTTCATTCAGCGCGTAACAATAATCGCTATATTTTCTTATTAAAATACGGACCCTAAAATTTTTTTTTATGACAATTTCAAATTATGTGTAGAATTAATTATTTAAACAAATTACATGATGATTGTAAATTAATTTTATAATTTTCAGGAACATTAATTTGTGAAGAAGTGTTTCAATTTTTAGCGAATTATATTGTATAGTTTTTAAGTAATTCATTTTTTTCAAAATCGGTGTTAAAATGTTTAATTGTTTATAACTATTGATAAAATAATTTTTTTCCCAAAATATTTATAGGAGTTGTTTCTACTATTATTTACTACGAAATTAAAAAGTTTAGATAAAAATTGAATAACCTTGGTAATTCGTTGATACACTTCAGAAAACTTAACCCAAAATGACATTTTTAAACGAAAATGAAAAAAAACATGGCGGCGCATAGACAGATGTTGCTTGAGTGTGTTAGTGCTCTAGGAGACAGCGCTAATTCGAGCAAGTACCTTGTACGAAACAAAATCATTTCTCCAAATTTGTAACTCGAAATCATTTTTTATTTCTGAGAATGTTTGAAACCACAAAATAGTTATTTATGATACAAGTGCGTAAAGTGAGTGATTATACGAGTATCATCACACGAGTATAATCAGATTTACGCACGTGTATCATACAACACTTTTTGCAACACCCACCTCTAAAGTTAAGTACCTATTATGAAGAATTCCAACTCTCTATTAGAATAATTTAGATTGTATAGAATTAAAAAATCAATCGAAGATCAGGAAAAATATCATTAAGCAGGAGTGTATAAATTTAAAAGTAAAGTTCGTTTTTTAATTTTGTGGTTTTGTATGGTCTAAAACAATCCTTATATTATGTGAGAGAAAATTTGGTGCGTAAAGTAAATTTCAGTGCGTAAAGTGAATCACTTTACACACCGTTTGAAAAAGAGCTTCTTTATACACATTTTTCGGTGTGTAAAATTTAATTTTAGAGGTTAGTGTTGCAAAAAAACATCTTTTGACCACATAGCTTTAAATTTGGACTATTTAAAAAATATATTTTTGAGGCTAAAAAAAATATTTAAAAATTACACCAACAGTACACATGCATTCGGAATTGGCAAAACTTTCTGAAAAATCACCTTACATGCCAAAATAGTGAGCGTTTATTTGAAATATAATTTAATTTATATTAATGAGGCATTCTTTGTCAACGCGGACACCCCTCTCGCCCAAATTCTTTTCATTTTAAATTCATGTTTAATGGCTTAAATTTTAGTTAAAGGAATATACTTTTGAAATCTGAGTGGCATATATCCAAAAACAAAATATAGGATCCAATATAAAGATTATTCTTTAAATTTACCAATAAAAAGTTACTATAATTCATTTTGAACAATCCAAAAAGTAATGTTTGAGGCCTTTTTAGCCCTTTGTATTTGGAAATATGCCACTCAGATTTCAAAAGTATATTCCTTTAACTAAAATATAAGCCATTAAACATGAATTTAAAATGAAAAGAATTTGGGCGAGAGGGGGGTGTCCGCGTTGACAAAGAAGGCCTCTAATGAATATTTTTAAACAAATTGTTTAAATAGTACGGTCAGTACGTAAATGGTGTTTTATTAACAAACACTTTAATTTCAGATTAATACATTACAGCAGCTACAAAACGTAGCGTCTTATGGATTTCTAAAGAAACGATTAGAAAGACACGATCTACATATTCACGCACTTTGGTTTGATATTTATACTGGTGATGTTTACTACTTCAGTAGAGCTAATAAGAGATTTATAGAAGTAAACGAAATGACGGAGATCCAGCTTCTAAAAGAAATAAATAAGTACTATACTTAAAATTTAAAGGAAATATGTATTCGTAACTTATTATTCAATATTTGAATTTTTGAATTCATGGAGAAAAAAGACTCAAAATAAAAAAAAATTTATAGTGATCATTATTATTTCTGGAAAGTAAAACGATTTCTTAGAATACAGGAAACAATATTCTGTTAAAAATGTTAAATTACAAAATTCGAGCGCTTTAGTAATATCACAGTGCAACAGCATTTTTATTTCTCGGATCGCATATGGTAATTTTTACAGGTTTTTTGACGCTGAATACGAATCCGAACTCAGAATTATTCCATCACCCTATAGATTTTCGAGAAATGTGATCTTGAAAATTGAAAAAAACATGTTTTTTGGGGTATTTACTCACACTTTTTTTAAAATCCTGACGTGATACATAATATTTTTTTTATTTTAATACCCCACACTGTAAAAAGAAAGTACTAAAATAGTATCAATTTAAGGTATCAAAATAGAACCAAATAACAATTTAGTACCTAAACTAGGTATTAAATTAATATCTTTTGTTTTACAGTGCAAAAAACATGTTTTTGCGCTTTCAGTATTTTTTCTCCTTAAACTGACGTACTAGAGACTTTTATATAGTACGGAAGTTTAAGGAGAAATAAATACTGAAAGCCGCAAAAACTTGTTTTTTGGGGTATTTACTGCCACTTTTTTTCAAAATCCTGACGTGATACATAATATTGAAATATACTTAAAAAAAAAATTTTGACATCAAAAAGACATCAAAACATCAAAAAGTACCCTAAAAAGGCATTTTTTAATTTTCAAGGTTATATTTCTCGAAAAGCTAGGGTGATAGAGCAATTCTGAGTTCGGATTTGTGTTCAGCGTCAAAAAACATGTAAGAATCACCATATGCGATCCCAGAAATATTAAAAAAAAAAATTCTGTTGCACAGTGTAAGTATTTAAAAAGGATAAATAGTACTATTTCATGGATTAAGACAAAGATAGGTATAATTAAATAATAAATAATATATAATTAAAGATAGTTATTTCTATATTTCTGATATGAATTCATCATACTATTTTCAAATATCTAAATCATGTTTTCATTCCATCTTTCCTGGTAGCAAGTTTACTTTTTTCTTTGCTAAAATGTATAAGATTGTGTTATTACCTTGTGCGAAAATTAACAGTAAGTGTGATCATAGATGTATGATGAATTTGTAGAATTATTTAAATTAATTATCATATTGGGGAAAAATTGTTTACTGGGCAAAATATTTCATTTAATATAAGTTTATTCAACAAAAGGGGATTTGTTTTTAATAAAAATTAAAAAGTCAACTTACGAAAAACTCATCTACGTTCTACGCAAAAATTAGGTAGAGAAAAAATGAATGTGAAAATTTACATTTTTTATATTTGTAAGAAAGATTACTATCAGAATTATAATTATAGGATTTACATTTATTTTTTATTGAATAAAAATATTTAAAATAATAATGATGGAATTTATCACTTGTCAAATAATGTAAGATGTATGTATGGTGTTAAATATATTAATCTTTCAACAACAAGTATTCAATCGTACTCGTCTGTGTAGGATCACACGTTTTTATTTTAAAATTTTCTTTACGCTTTTGATGAAGTATCTAATAGAGTCAAAACGTTAAAAATATATGTTTATTTTGTTTCTACACTATTGATATGGAAGATTGATTTATTCAACTTTATTCATAAACTACATCTTTGTTACTTTTTTCAAACATTTTTTTGTTACCAAATTCATTAAGATGTACTTCTGATTAAGGTAAGTGTCATTAGATGTAATCAGTATTTATTATTGCACGATGTTTGAAATTGAAATTATATTTATAACATTAAAACTAATAAGATAACTTTATTCTATCCAAACATTAGATTTGTATCACGAATATCTGGAAACCGAGTCTTAATGTACTTAACAAACAAACAGTCAATAATATCACTTTAACACACACATATAACAATCAATGACAGCACATCACAAATAAGACCTCTCATTACTCAATTCGAATGACCGATTCTTTCTAACATGTGTCCTGTGATTTCTCACTACATTTGAAGTGAAACATTAGACAAACAATGTTCTCTAAACAAATCAACAAAACAACATGGATACTATATAAGGAGGCAATCAGAGAACGTCTGACCAAACTGAATCCTTTCCACCAGAAATAAGCACATTTATAGAAACACAAGGAATCAAACGCACTTCCTTAGATACTACCTTCTCAAAATCAAATAATAGTACAAAGAATTATATAGCCACCTCAACTTAAAAATAAAAAACAAAACTATTTTAAAGAAAATGACAAACAAAATCCACACAGGCAACAATCTTGCAGCCAAGGACTTCCGACCGATTAATTTAACCTCCTTCATCCTCAAAACGGTCGAGAAACTAATTGATACAATTATTAGACACGAACCTTTACTTCAAGGGCAACATGCCTATAGAGCAGACTCTTCTGTAGAAACAGCCCTTTATTCAGCGATTATCAGAATAGAGGAAGAATTAGACGCGGTGGGCACGCCTTAACACTTAACGGCGCCTTCCTTAACACTTGTAGTCAAGCAATATGCAATGCGGCTAGAAGATGTGGCATACCAGATCCATTAATCAAGTAGATCAGGGATATGCTTCATAAAAGAGCCCTGGATGCAGAAGTATAGAGAGGCCAAAATAAATGGTCTAATTTCCTATGGTAGCTTACAAGGAGGAGTTTTATCACCTCTATTGTGGAGCTTAGTAGCAGTTATTAGTAGAACTCAATGGCCAGTGATTTTATAAGCAAAGTTATGCGGATGATTTCTTAATTATTATGAATGGTCTCGTTAGAGACACTATTAAAGCTAACAGAAGGATTATTAAAAGATGGTGTGAACGAACTGGCCTTTATGTGGGGTTACGCTCCTGGCGTTAGTCGAGAACACGTGTCTGTGACCACGCTGCACAGTATTTTCAATTTTTATCTTGTACAGTGTATTGTTAGTTCTCTAATATATATATATATATATATATATACATATATATACATATATGTATATATATATATATATATATATATATATACATATATATATATATATATATATACATATATATACATATATATATGTAGAACGCATGATTCGAGGACATTTTCGTAATTGAACGCATGTTTCGGGGACATTTTGTTTTTTTGGGGACGTCCCCAAATAATCATTTGATGCAAGGCATGGTTTGGGGACATTTCACAGATACGAGCTAGTTTCAGGACCTTGAAGTTTCTATATGACTAAGAGATGGCGGGTCGATGTCGATTTCAGGGCAATTTTGGGTTTCAATAGAGAGTCCTCAAAACATACATTGGAAAAAATAAGAGTATATATAGATACCATCATTACGGGAACAACGATACTTACACATGCGCAATAGAAATATCTGCAATTAACAAATGCGCAGCAATAACAATTGACAAAAATGGATGCGCACATTATTAAATTGGGAAATATTTATGCGCAACTGAAATATCAGCACTTAATACATGCGCACAAATAATAAATTATAAAACCGGATGCGCACTTTAACAAAATAATACTTATACCTACGCAATAGAATTATCTGTTATTAATACATGCGCAGTATAGAAAATTACCGAAAAAGATGCCCATATTAGGAAATTTTATAATATTTATGCGCAGTATAAATTTTAGCACTCAATAAATGCGCATAAATAATAAATTACGAAAACGGATGCGCAATTTAATAAAATTTTACTGACACCTGCGCAATAATAATATCTTCTGTCAATACATGCGCAGTATGAAAAATTATCGGAAGAAGATGCGCACTTTATGAAATTAGAGAATATTTATGCGCAGTAGGAATATTAACACTTAATACATGCGTACAAGATTCTTATACTTGCGCAGTAGAAATATCTGCTATCAATACATGCGCAGTATGGAAAATTATAGGAAAAAGATGCGCACATTATGAAATTAGAGAATATTTATGCGCAGTAGAAATATTAGCCTTTAATACATGCGCATAAGTAATAAACTACGAAATAAAATGCGCACTTTAATAAAACGATACTTATACTTTCGCAATAGAAATATCTGCTATCAATACATGCGCAGTATGTTAAATTATCAAAAGAAAATGCGCACATTAGGAAATTAGTAAATATTTATGCGCAGTATAAATTTTAGCACTTAATACATGCGCATAAATAATAAATTAGGAAAACGGATGCGCACTTTAATAAAATTTTACTGATACCTGCGCAATAATAATATCTTCTGTCAATACATGCGCAGTATGAAAAATTATCAAAAGAAGATGCGCACATTATGAAATTAGAGAATATTTATGCGCAGTTGAAATATAAGCCCTTAATACATGCGCATAAGTAATAAACTACGAAATAAAATGCGCACTTTAATAAAACAATAGTTATACTTGCGCAATAGAAATATCTGCTATCAATACATGCGCAGTATGTTAAATTATCAAAAGAAAATGCGCACATTAAGAAATTAGTAAATATTTATGCGCAGTATAAATTTTAGCACTTAATACATGCGCATAAATAATAAATTAGGAAAAGGGATGCGCACTTTAATAAAATTTTACTGATACCTGCGCAATAATAATATCTTCTGTCAATACATGCGCAGTATGGAAAATTATCAAAAGAAGATGCGCACATTATGAAATTAGAGAATGTTTATGCGCAGTAGAAATATTAGCCCTTAATACATGCGCATAAGTAATAAACTACGAAATAAAATGCGCACTTTAATAAAACGATATTTATACTTGCGCAATAGAAATATCTGCTATCAATACATGCGCAGTATGGAAAATTATCTGAAGAAGATGCGCACATAATGAAATTAAGAAATAATAATGCGCAAAATAAATATTATCACAAAAACATGCGCATAAATGATAAATTATGAAATTGTTTGCCAACTTTAATAAAATTATACCTATACCTGTGTACTAATAAAATATCTGTTAATTATACGTGCGCAGTATATGAGGTACTTAGAAAATTCGACACTAAATGTCTTTGCCGATTATTTAAAATAAAAACATATTACTTTGATGCATATTTTGAGTTCCTACATCATATCTAATGACTCTATCAGAAGTATAAATAATTTTTGAAGGTCATCATTTTATTGCATATTTCAGTATCATCATGCTGATTAATGATTCAATATGAGTTTCAGTTACCAGCTAGTGCAATAGTGACTTAGTTTGAAAGAAATTATTCTATATAGGTTTATGTTTAAGTGTTTTGATATATGTGTAAAACTTTACATTGAGGTTATTCAAAAGATGATTGAAATGATTTTTATAACAAGAAGATACCGTACTCATGATATATATAAGGCAAAATTCCTGTAGCGAACTAAGTGAAAAAAGTTGATCGGATCGGGCTGTCACTTGCACAAAGTTTAGCCCCAGGGGTGAGTAATTTATCCACGAATTATTGTTAGGTTTTTTTAAAAAATGTCGGGGAGGGAGGAGGTTGAATTTTTTTGAAAAATTTAAACAGTGGATTTTTGAAGACTTGTAACTTTTAAACAGCAAGAAGAAAAAAAATTTGACATATATGTTTTCTTAATGTTTTTTTGTGCTCTTTCGATTGGTGAAAAAAATTCAAATTAGACCCATTGCTCTGAAAATCAAATTTTATTTTGATTTTGCTTTAAGTTCGGTCCTTTTTATTTTTTTTTATTTATTTTTTTTGAAAGCTAAAAATGTGTATTTTCACGACAAAAAATATTGAGATGTTGTTTTTTGTTATTTTTGAAATAAGCTCAGTCGCGCTCCAAGACTCGAAAAAATAACACAATGCGTCAACTTTTTTGCAGTGTAGGATGAATATTAGGTATGCTATAAACGATAAAAAACACAGTATATTGGTAAGTGTATAAAATACGAAATGAAATTATTTAAATTAAATAAAAAATACATGAATTAATAGTAGCTTATTTGCGACTGTTACTGTTTGCGTCAAATATATTTTATAAGTATAAATGTTTCTTTTCGAAAAGTCATATGAGTTTTTGACCCAATAATTGTCATAAATAAAAAACATTATGTTTAAAAAAATGTTTGATAAATAAAATCATAAATAATAGCAATAATTCTACTAATTTCCAGAATACGTTCATACATTTAACCCTAAATTATTGAAGACTTACGATTTACTCGTTCTAATATTTAAAAATTTTTAAAATCTGATATCAGTACTAATGCAGGACTAGACTCTGTCCTTTCATAAAAGAAAAGAGATGAACATAAAAAATTCGATTGTTTTCATTGTTTTTCTTGCGAGATTCACGGTTTTTCGAGACGAGACTCGCTCGAAGTGCATAACTAGATATCATATTCTTAATCAGCGACCCTGCGTGAAGTTATTGTAAACTATATACTTATATGAGGCATTTCATATGAGAATACGGGGTCAGGTCTCGGATTTTTCTCAAAATTCGGTAAATTGTAGTGATGGTGGTGCTGAATAAGTGAACAAAATTGTGAATTTAAAATTTTTCGAGATATTTACAACAACAAATTAGAGATATATATTTTTGCTTTACTTATAACTTTTTCCCTACTAAAAATAGAGAGAAATGTTAAGAATGTTTTTTAAGCAAAAAACCGTAACAATTTCTTAAAAAAATAAAATTGTTTATAACTTTTAAACATGTTTTCCCTCCTCATTTTGAAGCGAGAAAAAAATCATGAATATTGTTTAAGTGAAAATAAATCTATGGTTAAATTTTTGAAATAGCATTATTTTTTGTTTACGAGATATTTATTAATTACACGACCGTTGGAAATTGTGCGACCTCTGCTTTTTCAACAACTATAAAACTGTTCAAATCTTTAAAAATATTAAAACTAAAAATTTTTCCTCTTTATTTTATCAAAGCTAATAAAATTCTGAAAGAAATGACACCTTGACAAGGAGAATATGTTAATTTTGCTTCCTCGTAGAGGAAGCTATGTAGTCCTTTCGTTTATAAAATTTTTAAAAATGGTGAAAACAAATTTTCCTCTATATAGAAAAATGTTATATGAGATCCTGATCAATTGTCCGGATGTATGTATGTGTGTGTGGATAGTTTTTGTGAACACGATATCTTTAAGAGGTTTTAATAGATTTGGATAAAATTTGGTAGGCTTATTTTACACATTAATCTCTCAAAAATGACGAGAGGATTTTTAAAAATACCCCCAAAAAAAAATTTTATCGTCTTTTTTCCAAAAAATTTTTTTTAATTGAAAAAATTTTTTAATCGAAAAATTTAAGCTAATATATAATATAATCGTCTTCCTTATGTCAAGATGAATCGATTGATATATATAAAGTATAGATTTGATTGAAATTTAAAGAATTAATGAAAGTTAAAAAATCAAAAATTCTCATTTTAACTAAAAAATGTGTTTATTTAAATTCATGTTTATATATGAAATAATTTTATTCCCTGCATTGAAACAAATTGGTTGGTATATATAAAGCATAGATTTGATTTAAAATTTGAGAATTAATAAAAATTGAAAAATCGAAAATTCATATTTCAGCTAAAAAATTTTGTGTTTTTTTAAAATTCAAGTTGATGAATAAAATAATTGTATTCCTTGCATTAAAACGAATCGATTCGTATATATAAAGTTTATGTTACACTCAAAATTAATTAAAATTTTCTTTATTTTTCAAAAAATTTAATTAATTTAAAATATTTTTAACTCGAAATGTTTTAAATCAATCAATTGAATTGGACAAATTCATTGCTTCCTTCACGAGGAAGCGAATTTTTTGCTTCACACAATGAGCAAGCATAATGTTTATAAAATAAACATAAAGGACCCCCTCCTTGTTCAATTAGATATCTAAGAAAAACCCAATTTTCAATGTTTTTACTATTTTTTTTATTTCTCTGGCAAAAATTAATATTTTTAAACGTTCTTAGGCTCATTGAAATCGTATTTTGTTATGCAATTCAAATTATATAAAACAATTCATGTACACATTCTTCTTTAGCGTATGCAAACCGTGAAAGTTGGCTCATAAAATGTCAAAAAATTTAAATTTAATTCTACAATAAAATATGATGTTTAAAAATCAAGTAAATATATCATTCTAAACTTCTCTGATTTATGTAAGTAAATTTAAGATTTATACATTTTACTGATCATTTTTTGTCATATAAATATTAATCACAATTTTTTGACATTTTATGAGCCCACTTTCACGGTTTGCATACGCTAGGGAAGAATGCGAGGAAGAATGTGTACATGAATTGTTTTATATAATTTGAATTGCATAACAAAATACGATTTCAATGAGCCTAGGAACGTTTAAAAATATTAATTTTTGCCAGAGAAATAAAAAGAATAGTAAAAACATTGAAAATTGGGTTTTTCTTAGATATATAATTGAAAAATTAACATATTCTCTTTGTCAAGGTGTCATTTCTTTCAGAATTTTATTAACTTTAATAAAATAAAGAGGAAAAAATTTTAGTTTTAATATTTTTGAAGATTTGAACAGTTTTATAGTTGTTGAAAAAGCAGAGTTCGCACAATTTCCGACGGTAGTGTAACTATCAAAAGTTAATAAAAAATAAAATAATTTACAAAGAACTAAAATTAGAATAATTTTAAAAATGCCATTCCAATGCTTATCGAAATCGGCACCTAACGAGTCCTATATGAACTATTTACTATTTTGGATAAACGGGCGTTAAATTAATAATTAATAATAAAAATTATTTAAATTTGAAGATATAATCTTCTGTTAATAATATAGATTGTTAAAAATGCTATTTCGACAGATTTTTTTGACGCAGAATTAGATGATCTTTCAAATAAAAAAAGAATTGACGATTTATCTCCTTTTCTTCAAATGTTATTAATTATAAATTTAATACCCGTTTATCCAAAATAGTAAATAGTTCATAAAGGGCTCGTTGGGTGCGGATTTCGATAAGCATTGGAATCACAGAAAAAACCTAGTCTTATTTTTGTTGCTACTCATTTTGAGTCCATGTTTTTTCTGTGATGGTATTTTTAAAATTATTCTAATTTTAGTTCTTTGTAAATTATTTTATTTTTTATTAACTTTTGATAGTTAATTAATTAATATCTCGTAAACAAAAAATAATGCTATTTCAAAAATTTAACCATAGATTTATTTTCACTTAAACAAAATTCATGATTTTTTTCTCGCTTCAAAATGAGGTACAACATGTTTAAAAGTTATAAACAAATTTTATTTTTTAAAGAAATTGTTAAGGTCTTTTACGTAAAAAACATTCTCAACATTTCTCATTATTTTTAGTAGAGAAAAAGTGACAAGTAAAGCAAAAAAATATTGCTGTAATTTATTGTTGTAAATATCTCGAATAATATTAAAAATTTTTAATTCAAAATTTGTACACTTATTTGACACCACTATCACTACAATTTACCGAGTTTTGAGAAAAATCCGAGACATGACCCCGTATTCTCATAAGAAATGCCTCATATAAGTATATAGTTTACAATGACTTCACGTGCTACAAAAACTAAATAATTTTTTTCTTGGAAACTACAAGACATACTATCTTTTTCAAAGTTTTTTATTTTTCAGGACATTGTACAGAATATTCATGAATTTTATGAAAAATATCGAAGATATACTTTTCGAATTATTTAAACAATTAAAATTGTTTTTTTTTTTAAATTAAACTTTTTCAGTTTTTTTTCAAAATTTTTTTTCATGAAAAAGCAGATAAATACGAGTATTTAAAAAAAATTCATTTCCATTGGTTAAAAATTACGTCAGTTATAATAAATCAAAAAAAAATTACAAAAAATTTAAATGTGCAATATTTTGGAAAATATTTTCAATTTTTTAAAAATACTTAGGATTTCATTTTTTGCCCCTTAAAGGGACCCAAATTTTCAATATTATAAAAATTTATCAAAACAGCATAAATCGGTGCGATCACTTGACGTTGAGTAGCTCACTAGCGATTGATTAGGGAATTAATTAAAGTTAAATAAATATGATCATGAGATTTTTAGAATTTTTGTTACTAAAAGTAGTAACTTAATTTATACCATTTTCAGGTGCCAAAAATTAAATTCATACTTTAAGAACATTCAATGTGTCTTATATTTCTACCATAATTTAAGTAAGTAGCGATTGATTAAAGAATTAATGAGGGTAAAATGAATATGATCATGAGATTTTTAGAATTTTGGTAATTAAAAGCAGTAGCCGAATATAAAAAATATATATAAGTCAACCATTAAATGCATACTTTGAGTACCATCAATGTTTCTTTTGCTTCTATCAGAATTTTAGTAACCGTCGGTTGTTAATGTAATTAACAGGATGTAATGAGTAAGAATATAACGTATTAAGACAATTTGCTTTATAGAAAATGGTAGAAGTCTATAAACAATTTGCATTATTCAACAAGTAAATGCATACTTTTGGTACCATCAATGTTTCTTTTGCTTCTGTCAGAATTTCAGTAACTGGCAATTGATTAGCGAATTATTCATGGTAAAATAAATATGGCTTCTATTAAAATTTTAGTAACTAGCGTTTGTTAGCTAGCAGTCTATAAACAATTTGCATTAGTTAACAAGTAAACGCATACTATGAGTACTATTAATGTTTATTTTGCTTCTATCAGAATTTTATTAACTGGCGATTGATTAGGGTATTAAGGAGGGTAACAAAAAATATGGAGAGTAGATTATCAGAATTTTTGTATCTTAAAGTAGTAGCCGAATATAAATAATTTGCATTTGTCGAAAATTAAATGCATACTTTGAGTACAATTAATGTGTCTTAAATTTTTCTCAGAATTTAAGTAACCATCTATTGTTAATGTTATTAATACTATTTAATGAGTAAGAATATAAGGCAGTACAGGATAGTAATTGAACTCGTATTCTAAACTAAAACAATTTATTTACTGTAAAAAGAAATTATATCAAACAAAAATGATTGCAATGGTTTCTTGGTGAACTTTGTCGAAATACTACCACATGTAGTCGAGTTCTCGTGCAGCTTCGTTTGCGCCACAACGAGGCGACGATCTAAACTAATATTAAATGGTACAAAATTTAAATTGAATACACGTACATCAGCCGCCCACCAATTAATCTTGATTAATTTAAAATTTCAATTTCGACCGGCAATTTGCACAATTGGACGCTTAAGAATACTATTAGCCGTTTTAACAGTTACGACCCTAACCTTTCCGTCTGCACCGCGGTGCGATTTTACAATTTTTCCCAAACGAGGCGAGTTGGAGTCACAAATTAGAACAACGTCGTTGATTTTTAAATTCTCAGTATCACAGGTCCATTTTATTCTCTGTTGCAATGAAGTGAGATATTCTTGTTTCTAGCAAATTCAAAAATCTTGGGTAATACGCTGGTTTACCTGCCACCGATTTAATTGATTCATGGGAACTTCTTGATGTCAGGATCAGGCAAGTTGGTGAGCGGTTCCCCGATTAGGAAATGAGCTGGCGTTAAAGGCTGTAAATCAAATAGCGTTGAAGGCAATGAACACAAAGGTCGTGAGTTTATGCAAGCTTCGATTTGCTCCAGAACGGTGCATAATTCCTCGAACGTGAGAAGAGTCAATCCGATCATTCGTTTCAAATTGAATTTACATGATTTCACTCCCGCCTCCCAAAGTCCTCCCATGTGTGGAGCTAAAGGTGGAATGAAACTCCAATCTATTTTCCGAACGCTGCAAAAGTCATTGATGGAATTATGAGACTCAGTTTCTAGCAACTGGTATAATTCCAGCAACTCATTATTTGCTCCCTGAAAATTCGTGGCATTGTCGCTAAACAATTACGTTGGACAACCACGTATCCCTACGAAACGCCGAAGAGTGACAATAAATTATTCAGCTGTAAGGTCGCCAACAACCTCCAGATGAATGGCCTTGGTTGAAAAGCAATCAAACACGGCGATGTAGGACTTGTTGGTCTTCCTTCCTCGACCCTTGTTTACGAGTGTGGTTATAGGCCCAGCAAAGTCGACCCCTGAAACTGAAAATGCTCGCTGAGGCTTCATTCTATCTGGTGGTAAGTCACCCATGATTTGAGTAAGATGCTTAGGATTATTGCGAAAACAACGAGTGCACTTATTCACAGTTAATCGTGCAAGATTTTTCCCACGAATGGGCCAAAATTTTTCGCGAATTGAATAGAGCAGTGCATGAGGACCGGCATGCGCGAGTTGATGATGCTCTCTTTTAAACAACAGCTGGTTAACTCTGTTATTGCTCGGTAGGTCAATGGAGTGCTTTACATCATATTCTCACGGAAGAGTGGCTCAATCTGCCGCCCAACCTGATCAATCCTGAAACGTCAAGAAAAGGTTTTAAACACGATAATGGACTCTTAATGTTGATTTTACCTTCGGACTTCAGATTCTGAATCTCCTTGCAAAAATGAATGTTCTAGATGTTCTTCAGAATGCACTGTCTCGATTGAGAAATTTCAGCAACTAAAAGCTCTGAAAAGGCTCGATTGGACGAATCTTTACGCAAGTTTGATATAAATCTCAGGCAATAGGCTATTACCCGTTCGATTTTAGTTAATGAAGAGAAATGATTAATGACTTCATCAAGATAGAGGATGGAATTTTGAAAGCAATGAGTACTTGTAGTTCTGATTTAAATTCTGATCGGATTATTTCAAGGTCTTGTACAGAAAGATTAAAGTTTGTGGGCATGATTGATAAATATTTAGAAGAGTCTGATATTATTGAAGGTCCTGATCACCATAAGGAATTGTCTTTTAGCTTTTCGAAACTCGCAAGAACTATTGTTGAATCAGTCCAAGCGTTAAGTGAATGAATTTTAATCCGTGGAGTATTTTTTACCTTGGTCACCAATCTCACCAACAAGACTGCACCACAAATTTCGAAAGTCTTCACAGCACCAATATCGTCGACGATTGTGCGCGAAATCGTTGACTCACTGGACTCACTTAAAAAAGAAATTAATTCTTTTTTATTAGATCGCCATTTATGCAACTCGAATTTTCCATTAATTAACAAATTTTGGAGTTCATTGATCAACGACTTCGCCTCGGGTAAACTATCAACACCTGTCAGAATCCTTTCGAACATGAAGACAAGTCAAGGCAGAAGCAACTGACGAATTCATCGATCGATTTCCATTAGTTTTTGACGTAACTGGACCCGATACGATCCAACCTAGTTTTGTGTTCTGCAAGATAGGCAAATTCTTTCCAAGCTCAATTTTTCCTTCATCTAGCAAATATACGAAAAACTCTCCGCCAAGAAGCATATTAATGTGACCAGGGTCAGAGAAAATTGGATCTGCTAATTTTACTGAATTTGAAACTGATAATGCTCTTGTATCGACAGGGGCACTAGGTAAATCTTTCGTTATTTTTGGGACCACAAGGCATTGAACATTTAATTGACAATTTGTAACACGAGAATTTAACGTTATTTCGCAACTATGAGTTATTTTGCATGACATGTTATTTAATCCCGAGATTGATTTACCAAATTCTAAAAGCTTTGTTCCCGTTTTATTGCATGCTGAGATAGTAATGTTTGCCTCACTTGCGCTGTCTAAAAGTACGCGTAATTGGTGGACGGAACCGTTTACGTGTTTTACATTGACGATTGCGGTAGACAATAAAATATACTTATCTATCCCTGAATTGACGATATGATGAACTGCTGGAATGTTCGCCTGGTTGACTTCATTGTTCACCGTGGGTTCCTTTGATAAATCCGTTTTTTGTTGACCGATGTGTGACACAAGGTATTGTGCCAACCTCCAGAATCACGGCAAGAGCTATATTTGCATGACTTCACGAAGTGATCGTTCGTCAAGCAATTCAAACAAAGTTTGAGTCGCTTGGCTTCAAGAATCCTTTTTTCGGCACTAAGGTTTAAACATTCCTCGCACGAATAGATGAAATGTGGACCCTTGCACATGTAGCACCTTCCACCCGCTTGAGATGTTGAGACAAAAGCGACTGGTCTGTTGGCTTGATTTCCCTTGCGTATTTTTGATGATTCTGTCGAATTGTTGATTTTGACTTTGGAGTTTGACGCTGCGTCTTAAGTAATAAATCCACTTGATGATGCTCTTCTGTCCAACAGTTGACATCGTCGTTGAAGGAAATCTATCATTATATCAACAGACACTTCTTCCTTTCCCTCGAGAAATTCCTCCCAATGACGTCTTGTTAGTTTGTCAATATTCTCTTCTATCATGTACAACAATAGATCGTCCCACTTGTCAGTTGGGAGTTTAATGGGTTTCAAAACTCTAAGATGTTTTTGTATGTTTTGTATGTGATCTATCAAGTTTTGAATCCCAGTAGATGATTCGACGTCAACCTGTGGTATCTCGAACAAGCATTGTATGTGACGTTTGCAAATAGTTTTGTCGTTGTCAAAACGATCGTTTAACAATTTCCAAGCGACTTCACAGTTTGTCACGGAAATCTCAATCGTTATTTTCGCTGCGACTCCTGATAGGGCACTGATCAGATACTGGTGTTTTTGCACATTTGGCAATTCGCTCTCGTGAATTAATGTTCTGAAAGTGTCCGAGAATCGCTTCCAATTCTCAATCTTGCCGTCAAAATTAGGTAAGTTTATGACGGGCAATCTTACGTGAGAACTTGAATTTGAGGTTGAAAGTCTCTCATTGGTTGATTGATTTGAAATTTGTAGAAGAATCTCTGCTTGTTGTTGAAGCACAACACTTGAAACACTTTTGCAACGTTTAAATAAATAACACTCGATTGACTTTTTTCCAATTGTTCCTTTTACACTGTTAACAAATAAAACAAAAGACAAAGATGGCCGCTAATCGACAATTGATGCGTTCATAAAATATTCTTGAATTTCTAGACAAATTGGATTTTGCGCATCTCTTGTCAGATCCGGCTCGAAGGACAAATGTACAGGATAATAATTCAACTCGTATTCTAAACTAAAACAATTTATTTACTATAAAAAGAAATTATATCAAACAAAAATGATTACAATGGTTTCTTGGTGAACTTTATCAAAATACTACCACACTTAGTCGAGTTCTCATGCAGCTTCGTTTGCGATACCACGAGGCGACGATCTAAACTAATCTCAAATAGTACAAAATTCAAATTGAACACACGTACAGAGATATTCAGAAATTTTACTAATGGAAAGTGGTAGTAGTCTATAAACAATTTGCTTCAGTCTACAATTAAATGCATACTTTGAGTAACATCAATGTTTCTTTTGCTTCTGTCAGAATTTCAGTAACTGGCAATTGATTAGGGTTTTAAACAGGGTGAAAAGAATATGAAAAGAAAAATTATTAGAATTTTTGTTACTGAAAGTAGTAACCGAATATAAACAATTTATATATGTCAACAATTAAATGCATACTTTGGCTACCATCAATTTTTCTTTTGCTTCTGTCAGAATTTCAGTAACTGGCCATTATATTGATTAGGGTTTTAAACAGGGTGAAACGAATTTAATGTATTAAAAAAATTTGTTTCATGGAAAGTGGTAGCAGTCTATAAACATTTTGCTTATTTATGAAGTAAATGCATACTTTGGGTACCATGAATGTTTGTTTTCCTTCTGTCAGAACTTCAGTAACTGGCAATTGATTAGGGTTTTAAACAAGGTGAAAAGAATTTAACGTATTATGAAAATTTGTTCCATGGAAAGTGGTAACAGTCTATAAACAATTTGCATATTCAAGAAGTAATTGCAAACTTTGGGTACCATCAATGTTTCTTTTGCTTCTGCCAGAATTTCAGTAACTAGCGATTGATTAGGGAATTAAACAGGGTGAAATGAATATGATAGGAAAATTATTAGAATTTCTGTTACTGAAAGTAGTAACCGAATATAAACAATTTTTATAAGTCAACCATTAAATGCATACTTTGAGTACCGTAATGTTTCATTTCCTTCTATCAGAATTGTGGTAACTAGCGATTATTAAATTAATTAACAGTAAGTAATAATGAGAAGGATTATAACGTATTAAGAAAATTTGTTTCATGGAAAATGGTAGCAGTCTATAAACAATTCGGTTATTTAACAAGTAAATGCATACTTTGGGAACCATCATGTATCATTTCCTTCTATCAGAATTGTGGTAACTAGCGATTATTAAATTAATTAACAGTAAGTAATAATGAGAATGATTATAAAGAATTATGAAATTTTGTCTCATGGAAAGTAGTAGCCGAATATAAACAATTTATATAAGTCAACAATTAAATGCATACTTTAGGTACCACCAATGTTTCTTTTGCTTCTGCCAGAATTTCAGTAACTAGCGATTGATTAGGGTTGCAAACAGGGTGAAATGAATTTAACGTATTAAGAAAATTTGTTTCATGAAAAGTGGTAGCAGTCTATAAACAGTTTGCTTACTCAAGAAGTAAATGCATACTTTGGGTACCATCAATGTTTCTTTTCTTTCTGTCAGAATTTCAGAAACTGGCTATTGATTAGGGAATTTAACAAGGTAAAATGATTTTGGTCAGAAGATTATTAGAATTTTTGTTACTAGAAGTAGTAGCCGTATATAAACAATTTACATATGTCAACAATTAAGTGCATACTTTCAGTACCATCAATGTTTCTTTTGCTTCTGTCAGAATTTCAGTAACTGGTAATTGATTAGGGTTTTAAACAGGGTGAAATAAATTTAACGTATTAAGAAAATTTGTTTCGTGGAAAGTGGTAACAGTCTATAAACAATTTGCATATTTAAGAAGTAAATGAATACTTTGGGTACCATGAATGTTTCTTTTGCTTCTATCAGAATGTTAGTAACTAGCGATTGATTAGGTAATTTAACAGGGTAAAATGATTATGGTCAGAAGATTATTAGAATTTTTGTTACTAAAAGTAGTAGCTGAATATACACAATTTATATAAGACAACAATTAAATGCATACTTTAGGTACCATCAATGTTTATTTTGCTTCTGTCAGAATTTCAGTAACTAGCGATTGATTAGGGTATTAAACAGGCTGAAATGAATATGATAGGAAAATTATTAAAATTTCTGTTACTAAAAGTAGTAA